GCATAATTAACCACCTTGTTTTTGTTGTCAAGTAATTGTTAATATATGAAAATTTTAAATGGTTTGAATATTCCAATTGAGAGTATTACTGCTGCCACTGTCTGTATCAGAGGGAAAAATGGTAGGGGTGGCCACAGGGGTGGCCAATGATTGGGTAAGGGTGGCCATGGCCACCCCTGCCCCCCCTTAACTAGCTCCGCCCCTGGCCCGTTGAAACGCCGGCATATGGAAAAAAATTAAAATAGCATCAAAAATACTCTTTTTAAATTCATATACATGACAGATATTTTTTTATTTAACATTTTGGTTTTTTAAAGTATTTTTGATTGTTTAACTAAGGTTTACTGCCATGGAAATAATTTAACTTATAAGATTAATTTAATTTGATGAAAGAAAGATGACAGAAATATTATGTTGCTTATTGCTTATTTGATAATTGCCCAGAAAACTTTCAGAGGGGAAGCAATCAAAGGTCATTGCTGAAGCAGCTGCAATGAAGTTGCTGCAATCCAATCACAATGATGGAAAGTTTAGAGGAAGGAAAAGCTGTTTCAGAAAGGCAATTGCGACTCAGGCTGGTTTAAGAATTTGAGTGGAAGTCATAACATGTGGACTGCTTTAATATTATTTTACTATATTGAGTTAATTATGTTATTAACATTCAGTTATTTTACAGTTTCTATTATTGATTCAAGTAAAAACTTTTTTCATAATCATCTATTTATTAAGAATACAATTTGAGAAGTTTTGCATTCAATTATATTTACATTATATTTCATTCTCAGATGCATTTTAAATATATTTAAACTTATTCATGAGGTTTTTCTAAGCAGTGTCGACTCCTGCTGTCAGAAACATTTCACTTCCACGTGTCCAACTTGATCATACAGATATTTTTTTAAATAATATAATTATAATTAAATTATATAATGTAATAAATATGCTTTTTTTTTTTACCTGTTTTTGTTTTAAGTATGGATTTTCTGTCATTTGGCTTTCTCCTCATAATGAACAGAAATAGAATGCCAAAATATCTTTGTGTATTAGATCATAGAAATTATAACTTTCTTTTTTTTATCGTGATGATAAATTCTAATTTACTTAAAATAGGAAGCTATTTCAACTAAGAGGAGCTTTGCTCCATGACAAAAGGGTTGCCTGGCAGCAAGACATGCACCTTAACTCCAGTGTTTATTTATATTATTGAGTATTTATGCTATTTAGGAAGTGAATTGTTGAAATTGGGCTCAACTTTACCGGTTTGCAGCAAAATGCTTCTATGAGGATCAGATAAGACTATCTAACACCAACATGGCTGAATGCTGGTGTGAGGTGAAGGTGTGACAAGAGTCGACATGAGGTTTAAAAACACCCCTGATTACAGATGCTGGATTAAAGCCAGCAACCAAGGCTAAAATTCAGAACACATTTTAAAGCAAGCTATGTTACGCAGCACGTAGACGCCTTCTAGGCATGAATCCAAAGGGATAAACCTAAGCCACAGCTGGATCCTATGCATTAAAATGACAAATAAGCCCTTGAGGCTCCCTTAAAGGTGAATGATGGAAAATGATTAGAAAAAAAGGCATACCAGTTTCTGTGAGAACCTTTTGGGAATATAAGTGAGTTGCGTCTGGCTCCAACTGGCCAGCTGATCATATTTTTTCCTCCTAAGACACTCCGCTAATGGGCTGAGGAGATAAAAATGATGAGATGTACCAATAAAGAAAGGGAAGTGATAAAAGAAGACAATCACACTCTTATGAACTGGGTCTTAATCAAACCTTGTAAAAGATACTGTCTTGCTATAATTGTTTGCAGCATTGACAGATTTACCATACATACATGAGCAAGCAACCATACTGATGTCAAACATTGTTGCCTGGACATTTTTTTGTTGACATTTTTTTAATTACAGCTGAAAACTTTAATTTAACTTTTATGGAAACATTTTTCGGGTAAATTCCTCATAAGACTTTCATGTTCTTTTCTCATTATCACATTTGTTAGTGTTGTATTATCCTCTTACTGTAGTAGAGGAAGGTGCTTCTCTTCAGAAGAGCTCAAAATGAAGCTTTGTGGCACAATGTAAACAAGCCATTCTATTGTTGGACATGGCAGTGGCAGCATCATGCTGTGTAGAGAATGGACAGTGAAGCTGGTTGGAGTCGACAGAAAAATAGATTGAACCTAGCAAATACTGAATGAAAACCTGTCAGAGGTTTTAAAGAACACTTTGGGCAAATGTTTTCCTTAGAGCAGGACAACTTGGAACATCAGCCTAAGCTATAAAGAAATTATTTACATAAATACATATTCATGTATTTGCTCAGTCAAATTACATACCAACATCCAACAGAGAATCTGATGCAAAACCTGAAATTTATGTTCCCAGTTGCTCTCTCTATATAAGGATTAATCTGCAGTTTGTACATCCATAGGTCACCAACAAGTGATTCACAAAGTATAGATTCAGGAAAGTAAATGGATGCCACACTTTTCAGATTGTATTTATTCTTTGATTTTGGGTTGATGAGGGCATAGTTGACATGAAACCATTTTCCATTTGCACAGATGATGTCTTTATTTTGTATTTAGGTCAAATCAACAGTGTAATGAATTTATTAATAAGCCAAGCCGATCAAGATTTAACTACGTTCAAGAGTAAAAAAGTAGTGTAAAGACACATTGGTAAGTTTCTGTGGTTTACGTTACTATTACATTTCAGATTAAAGGAATTGGTTGTAAAAATAAAAAATAAAAATTCAGTGTGTTTGGGTGTTTTACCATCTTTGCTGTTGGATTTTAATGATTTAATTTTGGTCAAAGCAGTTTGAGGTCAACTTGAGTTGTGGTCACCTTAGTAAATGTGAGTCCTTTCCCTGTCCTTTAACCTTTTTAAAATAAAAAAGAATAATTATAATAGTAAGCTAATATGTAATTTAGAGCTCTAAGACTGATAAAACAGATTAAATCCACTCTTTATCGATAAAGATAGTTATTAAATGATTTTATGTTGAGTAAAAATGGAGCCAGCACCTGTCCTGTACTAAGTGATTTTCTTAAAGGATGTACCTGTATTTAGCTCCAATGGGCACTGGCAATGGAGCTGCCTGATCGTGCCACCACCATGTTTCATCATGTAGATAGTGTGTCACATAAGGTGTAATGTGCTATCTTAGTTTTTCTTTAAACAATTTTTCGCATTTCAGTCAAATTGCTAACTTGTGGTCATATGTGATCCAAGCACTTTCTTAAACGTTTGCTCTACATGTCTATTTACTATGCTTTAAATCAATGTTTTTTGATGTGGATACTTATTGCATTCCATTGTGCTAAAGAAGCTTGTTTATCATCTATGTGTTTTTGTTTATAACACTTTATACACATAGCAGGACGACCTTAGTAGGTGGATTGAAAACCACTTCGATAAATGATTTAAAGTGAATTGCTATTTAAGGTGTTCCTTCCTTAGCTATTTAAAATCTTAACACTGAAGGACAAAAGTGTTTGTGAACAGCAGTATTTCTATACCTCATGGCCCCTGAGAGCTGAAAGCATCTGTCACTGTTCCAACAAACAGTTAAGAGTGCATCAAGGTACGCGCTGTACTTCGTTATCTATGAAAGCTCCACTCATCAAGCTATTGGAGAAGACGGCGGGGTCACCTTTGTTTCCTTTCACAGACCTTATATCTTCACTGTTCTTCATTAACCTCTGCCACTTTTCCAGCCGTTATCTGCTTCACCCTTTTGCTTTGCCCACAGGGGTTCTCGTTTGCAAGACGGTTCCTTTTGTACAGACCACAGCCATAGTGACAGGCATCCTCACAATGACCTGCATCGCCATTGAAAGATACCAGGGCATCGTCTTCCCTCTGAAAATGAGGCGTCAGTACTCATCCAAACGGGCATACAAAATACTGGGTAATACACTTCATTTCAAAAAATCAGATTTTTATAATTGGTGCAATTACATTAGAAGGATTTTATTATTGGCTATCATTTATACTGCTTTGCTCCTTCTTACTCTATGTAGGATTCAGAATATATTGAGCACCCAGGCTCATATTATGAAATTAACACTTCTCAGTTTTAAAATAAACGGTTCCCAGAAATCATGCAACATTGGGTTATGTTCACAAAAATTGGGATTTTTCAATGTTGAGACAAAAAAATCCATGAAATGTTGGGTAACCTGCCTCTAAGCTTATTAATGATGTAAAAAAAAAAGGTTACTTATTTTAAGCTGTTGTGTTTTCTATTGTTTTTTTTTAAACAAGACCTGTTTATTCAGATAACATCAGTGTATTGCTGTGTGATTCCTACAGGGCTTGTATGGATTGCCTCTGTGATAGTGGGTTCACCAATGCTATTTGTGCAACAGCTAGAGGTAAGTGTTCTTCATAGCAACACTATCAACTGGCTCTAAAATAGGCGGATAAATAATGCTTTTTAAGCAACGGAACAAAAATAAGAAATACTTTACATAAGAATTAAACAGGATTTACAATATTCTAGAAAAGGAACATCAGCACCATATAATCGCAGTATTTCTGTGTGAGTATACAATATAAACCAAGTGAATTCTGTACAAGGCTGAGAATGAAGAACATGTGTAAATAAAGGCAGCCGGCTGTCAGTTAGAGTTGATGACCAGGAGAGGTGATCCGGGGAGCTTTTTTAGATTACAGCGGCTTCTAACTGACGTATATAAATTATTTGTTCCCACACATAATGAGAAAATCACAGGAGCACTGAGGCTTTGACTTCAGCCGGCGCTTTTCTTTAGGAACGCTGTCAATGAATCAGGGGTTCTGCACCAACATATCTTCTTTATTTCTGCGTTCAAGGCATGCTGGGAGCAGAGAAAGTGCTCTTATATATATAAAAAAAAAACGCTTTGATTGACAAAGTAACATAACGGCCGTACCAATATGTGAAAACTAACAAGTTAGATTAATTTTTAAATCAAAACCTAACGCAGTTACCAACACCGTTATTAAAATGTATACACCTAAAAGACCTTTCATAAAGCAACTTAAACAAAACAAATCAAAATAAGCTGCTCTGTTTTATATGCAGAACAAATTTGGTTTGGTGGTAGAGAGCTACACATACATTAACATACAGGACATTTATAATATTTATGGAAATATATAACATGTAACAAAAAACTACCATCATATAGGAAGGAAGAGTGCGATGATATATCTTAATAATATTCTATAATAATAATATAAAAAACTATTTACATCAGCTGGGGTATTTGTATTATTTGCAAGGCAAAGTGTAAGTGAGGGATGTGTTAAGCTTGGCGTACACTGTGCAATTTTTTTCAATGGTTGCATGCAGCTTCTGCTCACACACTGTACGACTAACCGCACAGTTTAGTCATACAGTGTGAGTTAAGAGCTCACGATTTATGTTCGGCCGCATGCTCTCATGCGATCTACCTGCTCCCACAGCATGACTAAAAACCACGTCGGACTCAGCTCCGCAGAGAGATGGAGCTGCTCTGACTTGTTTATCTGAAAGCCAAACAAATAGAAGGGGAATATGAAGCTCACTAGAGTGAAACGTGCTGCCTTGGCAATTTGTGCAATTTTGTGCTGAATGCCATGAAAAGAAAGGGCGAAGACATATTTGGAAAAAAGACATGGTGAGCAAACGTGGCTACTACGGTCTGTCAATTTTACAGACAGAACTGCATTTCACTCATTGCATCCCTGCCATGTTGCTGTGTTTACATCTGAGAGGAAGAAGAAAAAGAAGAATCCTTCTTTGTGTATGCGCCCTGAGCAATTTGCCCACGACAGTCCCGACCTCATAATTCCTGATCAGGGGGTGGTCATGAGAGGCTGATCGCCCCTCGTAACCCCATGTACACTACACGACTGCCGACGCACGATCAGGCTGAAAATTGCCCGATCGAAAGACTCTTGCACGACTTTAAAATCGCCCTGAAAATCGCACAGTGGGAAGAATGTGTTATAGTGGCAGGAGGTTTTGGGCCTTAAACACCATTGCCTCCTGCTAGAAGGGAGAGATTGTGTCTGTGAACAACTTGTGTCCAAGAAGGGTCACATGTAATCTTTCCTGCTTGTTGCAGAGTCCAAGAAGCATGCTGTCCCTGAGGAGGGGGAAATCAGCAGCCAATCACCATCTCTGTAGTGATTGGCTACACCATATATCACCATCTCTGTAGGGTGATATATGGTGACTGACTGGTGAATTACACCTTAAAGTTTCCAGTGAGATGTTTAAATTGTGTGTGAACACCAGAGAAAGCTGATCAGCATGACATTTTAGGGTGGATAGAGAGACTTTAGGGTTTCGGCCCAGCTGGGACTGAGGCTGATTGAAGGGGTCACTTGGCTGATTGACTTTACGAAGCAGTAATAATAATAATAATACATTTTATTTAAAAAGGCGCCTTTCTGGACACTCAAGGTCACCGTACAAAAACATAAAAAGTGTCAGAAAAAATAAAAATAATAATTATAAAGACAGTAGAACTTGTTCAACCAATTTGCAAGTTTAGAGATGTTAATGGAGTCAGGGACTTTAGATTTATATTTTGTGCTTTGAAGCCCTTTAGGATCCAACCCTTTCAGGGGACATACTTGGGTCAAAAGTTATTAACTGTGGTTTATAATCCACCGAGGTAGTCAATCATGTTATCAGATTGACCCAGATCCGAACTGGGGACATCATGATAAAGACAGCTTACTGTGGTGTAGAAGTGATCAATTGGACACTTTATAAACTGTCTATATTTTTATGGATTTATTGGCTAAGTTAGATTTTTTTTATTTTTTTTTATTAAACAAACCAAAAACAACATTAGAGGAGTCCAGGTTTGCTGCTCCATACAGTATCCTGTTTGAAAAGCATGAGCCTTTCGTCAGGCATGTTGGCCAGGAGTGAAATTCAAACATCAACCATGTTAAATAATGGAAATGGTTAATGATAAAATATTCTAGATTAGATGAGCATACAGCTGCCACATCACTGTCTCATCCGTACACCAGCATCTTTTGATGTAATCACAGATACCTCCACCCTTACATTCTCTTTCAGGACATATAAAGTACTTTTGCATATAAATTGATACATTTTTGCTTTTCTTTACCTTAGTTTTGTGTGACAGCCGCCTGTGAACAGTCCAGTTTTAGTTCAGACGGCCAAGACTCCATGAAGCATAGAGCAGAAGTTGAATGAAATTATTTGATGCTCCCAAGCAGTAGCTGAAGTTCATCCCGTTTGTTGAACAGCCAGCACAACTTTGAAAGAACTATTGCCAGTAGCGGTGCAGAATCCCTGCTGTTGAAGACGCACAAGCTGCATTTCACTGGGCGTACAGAAGTGAGCGACACCTACACCAAATTATACTGGTGACGCAAAGAAGGACGGAATAAATCAGTTGGGAGTTGATCCCCTGATGTTCATGAGCTCTTCAATTCTGTAAGAGCTCCGGGAATCACACGCACAAAAATATTTATATTGTATATTTAATTAGCCACAAAGCCAAGTTTGCAGACTCATGTTGTAACATATAAAAACTGTGATCCTATCTATAGAGCTGGAACTTATTACTAATGCATTGTGAAAGTAAATTGTAAATATTAAATGGTCTAAGGGATGAATCAAAAATGTTCTCTTTTGTCAGCGCATATCATCATAAGAAATCTTTATTATTACACTGCAAAAACTAATTTAAAAAAAGAAAATGCCTAAATAAATGTATTTGCCCTTAATTTGAGTAGGCAAATAAGATGATCTACCAAAACAATTTGTATTTTTGCACTTATAACATAATTAGATATAAAGCTAGTGAAATAAGTAAATGGGGTTGTATTTTCTTATTTTAAACATAAATAATATTCTTCTATTTCAATTTTCTAACCCTAGATTTCAACTTTTGCAGTTTATTATTTCTGTACAGGGGCATGGACCAGTTGTACAATGGGCACTTATGCCTGTCGCACCACGCAAAAAATTGGTGAAAAAGACATTGAAAGAAAACATTATTTAAGTCAAAATGAGATTAACATTTGGTTGAAATATGAAAGGCCATAATTTTAAGATTGTTGAAAAGACGTTAAAGGCTGGGTTTGCAACGTCTTTTCAACGTCTATTATTGGACTAAAATGGGACAAAATCAAAACGATCAAACACAGCCCAATATTCAACAATGATTTCTGGATTAAATCATGATGGACCGACCAGATGTAGCCTAAAAACCAACGTCTAAATGAAGTATAGTGTTTGGGGGTTGGCCCCTGTCTAGAAACGACCATGCTAGGAACCACTAAGACTGCAGATTAAATGCAAATGCTAAGATTGAATGCAAAGGCCTCTATTAGAAATCAGATCTCTGGTTGTTCTTATATATAAAAAGAAACATTTTCAATTCTATTCTCGATTTAATGTGAAGCTCATGAAGGTAAGCTAAAATAGAAAAAATTGGATTGTTTTTATTTTTATCAGAACCACAGCTGCAGTTTTTCTTTTTTTTTATTTAGTGAGAAAAAGAAAGCTAAAGATATGATGCACGTAAATATTGGACTGTCCAAAAGGAAAGCAGCTATGAGCTACAAAAGCTTCTGATCATACCCAAAGGTTCACCTTCAAGAAGGACAATGAGCTGAAACATACATCATTACAGGTATCCATTAAAAGACCACATCTTAAGTAGTTCTTATCCAATTTATGTTTCTACACATTAGCAGTTTAATTTGACCTAATCTGAACTGATCGATACACAAAGGCATACCCAGAAAAGCTCTGAAATAACTCCAATAGTGGCGTTGGAAAACTATTAAGTGAGAGGGGGAAAAATGGATTAGTGAAAGTACTCATATTGATGCATAATGTACCTTCCATCTACAGATAATAAACTGAAAATAATTGATTTTTTTCTTCAATTTAACAGATAAGTGAGACACTTTACATTGCATCTTATTTCAAGTGCAAAATATCTAATTATCTCATTTTAAGGGTAAAAATGGTCATTCTATTGGCAGATCATCTTATTTTTT